AAAGTGCTACCTTTATCAAATCTTCTAAGTTCTGTTTCGTTATGATCTGCCCATATTCTTACAAATTGCTAACTTAATTTTTGGGAGGATCTGAAGCAGTTCTTTCCAACTGCAGCACAGCTCTCCGCTTTTCGTTTGTGCCCTGTTCCTTTTCTCTGTATGCAGAACTTCTCGGTTATTTCTGCTTCACAGTTAGCTCTTTTCAATGATTATTAACGAGATCTGAAATAAAGGCGCGCACTGAGCAGATGATATGTGTGATTTATGAAACGCACGAGTTTGTCCAATGTTTGAAGACATAGACATTTATGGAAGGCTTGCTGAATCTCTAAGCTCAGCGTTGCGTCCTTCATATTCGAAATTCCTCTCGTCGAGAAAACCTGGTTGATGTGTGACGACGACCCGCATGACTCAGTCGAGCGACTCATGTTAAATAAGAACCCGCCACAGGCAACAAGCATGTCCTATAAATCCAGAAAGAAGCATCTGCCCAGAAGAATTAGAAAAAGATACATCTAACTTCTGTTTTATCTTTCAGGCTTTGTCACATTCAAATCGCTCAGATAATTTTCGACAGACCGGGTGATGCAGATGGAGGCTTTCATGTTGCTGTGCGCATGCGCAATAATGCTCGTCGTGTATTACGTTCACCAGAAATCAATTTGGTTCCTCCGAGGTTGCCTTCTACTGTTGGCTGCCAGTCGGAAGCTGCGGCAGCTGCACTTACAACGCCGGTTGTTTCTTCCTTATCAGTTGCTGCTACGCCGTTCGGTGTCGGCAGCGTGCCTACCGTGCCTTCCGCCCCTATGCGGGGCTCTGGTGGATCTATTCTCATCGATCTGAACTGTACCGTCCACTACACACACGTTCTTAAAATGGATTCCAACATCCTCCAGATCATCCTTCAAAGGCGGAAAAAGTACAAAAACACTACCATGAATTTGGGCTACAAGACGTTTGCATACTGTAATATCAGCCTCTCGCAGGTGAGCCAACTGTTCTGGTGCTTTTACAATGAAATGAATTGATTTTTCCAAAAATTTGTCGGACGCTAGAAAGAAAAATACTGTGCCAGTGGTGGGTTGGCTCCTGGTGGCCAGATAACCACATTCTTGTAGTCTAGTGCGCGAGTGTGCAGTCACGTTGTTGGTGGTTTAACCTTCCCTGTCATGTTCTAAGCTAACTCAACAATGAGTTCGGCAATCACTTCGGCAGTCACTTGTAATACTCAGTAGGCATGACCGAGGCTTGGCGAAATGGAAAATACTTGCAATGCTTATGCTGGGTTCATCTCGTAGGCGCATTGCGTCGCAAATCGCAGTATTTTCCCGATTGCGAGTCTT